CATCCCTCAGGCATAGGTGTCCCCCATGGGCCCAGGTGCATGGCCTGAGGAAGGCACCGGGTGGTCACAGGTGTGCTCTGTGGACAAGGTGCCAACGGTGTGGACAGAGGTCTGGCAAACAGTAGTCCCCACTCTCTTCCTGCCTTGATGAGGAGGGTCAGAGCTGGCCCAGGGAAGGGGCAGGCCTTCCAGGTAGAGGGAACAACATGGGCAAAGGCTCAGAGACCAACACAGGAACTCCATGGTGCTGCGTTACAAAGGTGGGACTCTGGTGGCCTCCTCCTGTGCCTGCCTGTGACTCTAGCCCCCCAGTGCTCACTCTACCTGCTACCTACCCTTCCTCCTAAGCTGCCCTTAGTGGGTAGAAACTCTTCCCAAGTACCTTCTCACTGAGGCTAGCCAGGCAAAGCTTGGCCAAGGCAGGAAGGGGCTCCACAGAGTGAGTCAAGGATCGCGGGGTGACTCTGGCTCATCTTCTCTGCTTTGTAAGGTGGGAAGCCTAGGAGGGATGGCCTCAGCCTCAGCTGGGGGCCCTGCCTACTCACCCCATGGGAGTACAGAGGCTCCACGAACAGGGCTCTGCCCCTCAGCGTCATCACAGGGGCCAGTCTGCGCTCATCACTGTGTGTGTGTTCTAATCGCCTCTTCTTGTAAGGACGCCAGTCACACTAGATGGGAGTCCATCCCAGTGGTCTCATTTAAACGTAATTGCCTCTTTAAAGGCCTATCTCCAGATGGGATCATATGCAGAGTTTTGGGGGTTAGGGCTGCAACACATAAATTTGGGGGGGACACAATTCAGCCCATGATGGCACCTGTTTGCAGGAGCCTCTCACATAAAACTGTGTGCTGGGGAGCTGGGGGCCCAGCATCATCAGTTTGCATCCCCAGGCCCTGCCACCCAAAGGAAGAGGCAGGGGACACGGGCCCAGCAGGCTTTTGCTCCTCTTCTTTTACTCCATTCCCTCATCCCTGCACTCAGTGGCCTTAGTAGGCGGATGAAAAAGTCACGAGTGAGTGAATGGCAGGTATCCATGGAAAAGAGTGGCAGAGGTCCCGGTGGACAAAAGGAGCACGATGTCCAGGGGCCAGCAGCACCCAGGGCACTCAAGCTGGGGCAGGCCCAGGGCCCGAACCGCTGCGTCCTTCCATCACCAGGCTCTGCCTCTTGCTTGGGAATGTGGCAGTTGTGTTGACTGGTATACTCATTTCCAATTGCTGCTATAAGAAATGGCCACATACTTAGCAGCTTCTAAACAGCACATATTTATTGATCCCAGAGTCCTGGAGATCAGAAGTCCTCAGTGGAACCATGTTCCATCTGGAGACACTCAAGGAGAATCTGTGTCTTGTCTTTTCCCCTTCTAGAGGTCACCCAAATCCCTGGGCTGGCGGCCTCTCCCTCCCTCTTCAAAGTACAGTTCTCCAAGCTCTGCCTCCATCGGCACGTCTCCTCTGGCTCTGACTCCCCTGCCTCCCTCTCAGAGGGAGGGCCACGCTCCTGACCCAGGATCCTCTCCCATGTCAAGATCCTTCACTTTATCACAACTGCAAAGTCCCTTTTGCCATGTAAGGTCATGTATTCCCAATTCCCAGGGATTAAGAAGTGGGTTTGGCTGCACTCACAGTTCCCCCAGCATCAGAGAGGCTTAAGCAGAGTGGGGGTATTTCCATGTCCTGTGGCCACTCAAGCTGCAGTGACAGCTTTGCTCTGAGGAGCCGTGGTGTTCACACCCCTTCTCCCCTGGTGATATGGTTTGGCTCTGTGTCCCATCCAAATCTCATCTCAAATTATAATGCCCATGTGTTAGGGAGGGACCTGGAAGGAGGTGATTGGATCATGGGGTCAGTTTCCCCCATGCTGTTCTCATGATATTGAGTAAATTCTCATGAGATCTGATAATTTTAAAATGTGGTGCTTCCTTCCTCTCTCTCTCTCTCTCTCTCCCTTTCGCTCTCGCTCTCTCTCTCTCTCCTGTTGCCTTGTGAAGATGTGCCTTGCTTCCCCTTTCACTTTCTGCCATGATTGTAAGTTTCCTGAGGCTTCCTAAGCCCTGGGGAACAGTGAGCCAATTAAACCTCTTAAGTTACCCAGCTTCAGGTAGTATCTATATAGCAGTGTGAAAACAGTCTAATATACCTGGTTTGCCAAGTCTAGAGCACTCCCCGACCCTGAGTCCATGCTGTCAGTTGGCTGGGACCACGAAACACTTTCTAAAATGCAAGCCCATTTAGGGTGGGATTTTTTTTTTCTACTTGCCTTGCACCTTCCCCGTCTTCCTAAACAGAAGCCATGTAGCTCATTTTCCTTATTGAAGGCACTGCATCGGGGCGTGGGGCAGGCAACCACCTGACAGGTCTTCTGGGATGTCAGCTTCAGCCAGCTAGAAGAATGGGGGTATAACTGGAATGTGCATCCATTCAGCCACGTGACAGTCACTGGGATGTGCCAGCATCCTGGGTGAATCCAAGAAACCTTGCTTGCCTGGAAGTGGCCAGATGGAGCAACTACCAGCACCTACTAATGACAGTGTTTCCATCTTCTAATGGGACACCCTTCTGTAGGGTTGAGTTATATAAAACTATCACCTTTACACCAGTGGCCCAAATGCTTTATGAGTTCACGGAATGTCTTTAGCAGAAATTTATCTCCATCTCAGCTGCTGCTGCCTTTATTGCTCCCTTTCTCTCTCTCTCTCTCTCTCTCTCTCTCTCTCTCTCTCTCTGGCACACACACACACACACACACACACACACACACACACAAACACACAATTTCCAATTTATGAACTCCTAATTTACTGTGGAGTAGGAAAAGAAATTTAGAATATTCATCATAATTTCGTGGTAAAGAAAGAGCACCCAGGCTGTGACTGACCACCATGTGAGGCGGGCATATGAGTGCAGAGCGTTTGTGGAAACCTCATACCTTGTCTGCTTCCTTCCTGCCCCTCGTCTGTGGACAGAGTGGCTGAAATTCTCAAAGCTGGGGGTTAGTGACTCTCCTAACCCTCCACGCTCCCTTCATCCCTCATTGTGCCCCAGCTCCCAGGTCCACCAAGCCCAGTTCCTAGTTCTGAACCTTATATGCACTTGGTGAACACAAAATCAGCCATCAGGACTAGCCCCTCACCTCTTTCCAGCCAGCCTTGCCTCCTCCAACCCACACCATACACCACAGCAGCCGCAACCATCTGTTTACGCAGAAAACAGCCCCAAGTGCTTGAAACCCTTCAGTGAGGCTTCATTTGGGAGGATACACCCCAGCTCCTCTGGCCGACCTTCAAGGAGCTTCCTGGCCTGACTAGCCTCTTTGGGCACCAGATCCATCTCTGCCCCAGGGTCACAATTAAGAAATGCCCATCACCTCTCTGCCCAGCCATCTGGGGTCTACACTAGCCCACATCCCATTCTTCTCCCCGTGGAATTTAAGTTTGCTTTTGCCCCTCGGGGTTCTCACCCAGCTCACCCAATCTCAAGGCATGGTCAGAACACGCCCCGGACACCCTCACCAGCCCTGAGTCCTGTCTGTCCCTCCCACTGCTCCCCCCAGGGCAAGTGGACATCACACTGAGCAACCAGGGTCCTCTGGTGAGGATGGTCTTTTTGCCCTCCTGCCTTTGCCCCTGCTGTTCCCACTGCTGCTATGCCCTCCCCATTCCCCTTTGGCTGTCTGGTAAACACATCTCTTCCAGGAAGCCATCCTTGATTATCTGTTCCCTGGGCAGAGTGAGCACCTCCTTCCTCTGGGCTTCTGGAGTATGATCTCCTACATCTCTATCACGGAAGGCCTGGAACGTGTGTCACTATCAACAGGTGAGAGCAAAGTGGGGCACCGTGTCTTGTCCATCAGGGCCCCTTCCCAGTGCAAGCCTTTCTCAGACCAGGAGGACCCAGGGGGCAGAGGAGGTCTGCAAGCTCCAGGTTGGTCAATCAGTGTTTCTCATCCTCCTGACCATGGTAGTTGGTTTAGAGTTGGGCATGTGACCCCAGCCTCACCAATCAAAGAGGATCCAGGGATTAAAGCCTCCTCAGAGGAAGACAGAAATGGGAAATGGAGAGAGTGAAATTGAGTTCTGATATCATTTGAGCTTCTGAATCCAGCCATTCCTGCAGCTGAAAACCCTGAGATTTTCAAGTACATAAATTCATAAGCCAATCACACCCAAAATGGTCCTATCCACTACAGAACTCAAACATGAGCGTAGCTTCAGGATTTTGCCATTCTCTTTCAGGAATTAGGATATAGCTTAATCAAGGGCAGGCTTCATGTATCCAGGACCCTTGGCAGCTATGGTTTACCTTCATCAAGTCATCCAGCCCTGAATGGCTTTACCCCAGCAAAGAGAACATGGGCTTCTAAGAGGGGCACCCATTGGAAAGTCTAGTGGAGGGACCCAAGGCACAGGGTCCCTCCACTAGACTTTCCAGTAAGAGAAAGCATCTCTGGGGATGACAAAATTCACAGGACAGAGGAGAGATAGACTTAGAAAAATGACTTAGACAATTTGTCACTGTGGTACATCCAAAAAATGCCTACATGGTAGTTAGGCTGCTCCCAACGGTGCCAACACCCCTTACTGACTTTGTTCAAGTCACTTTCTTGTCTAGAAACCATGTCCCATGCCCCTATTGGGTTGCAGAGACTCAATCCTCTGTAACAGAGAGGATGGGTCTGAGTGTGGTAGAGATTATGTTCTTTGCCCCACAGACCCCATCCCACTTTCTTCCCTTCTGGACACATGCTGGCTTCTGAGGGAGTCAGCGGTCAAAGAGCACCGAAGCAGTTCTGGACGGTGAAAAGTAAGAAGAAGGGACACGTGTGTCACTTTCAGGCTAAGGCCATGAGAAGCACCATGAGACCCTCCATTAGCACAAGATACAAACAGCCTAGATCCCTAAATCATGACATACAGCACAGCTGTCCTAACAGTCACCCCCTTCACTTTGGGCTTTGTGTGAGGGAAAATGAGTTCTCACAGCAATAAGCAATTGAGGCTTGGAGGTTTATTTGTTTTGGCAGCAAAACCTAGCTTATCCTGACTAGAGATGGCAAACACACGACACACACACCATCACTGACAGTCCGGCAGCCATGCAGACATTACTAATCCATCTTGGCACAGTTCTTCCCATCTCAGCACATGCTCCAGGCAGCCTGTACCAATGGACTACCTAAGGACTGCATGATGGGTAAAGATCCTTCTAGCTCTCAAGTCGCCCCTCAGGCAGTTGAGCAATTTGAGTGCCCCCCTCATCTGACACACAATGGCCAGGCTAGGAGTCAAGGGCAAGCTGTGCCCTCTGGAAGGATCTGATCCCGCCCCACCACTCACTCTTGTCAAAGCATCGTGTCTTCTCACCTTTTGCCATCGCCCCCTCCCTGCCATGACCCAAGGGGCTGCTGGACAGAGGCTGCCCCCTCCCCAGCCTCTGCCAGCTCCCCACCCCCATTGCCAATTCAGGAAGCCTCCAGGATTTCAGTGTTGGTGACATTTTTCTCTGCCTTCTTGCTGTTCCTTAGCAGAACCAAGTAGGAACTTGTTCCTCTGAAGGCTTTGGAGAGGAGCCGTACTGCCCCACACTTTCTCATTCTTTCTCAGGGTGTGCCCCAGCCTCAGACCCATGAAAGGCAATTTCACTTTCGGTGGGGTTCCTTCCAGGAGGAACGCTGGGGCCCAAATGTGAGCACATGTCTGTCTCGGCGGTCAGCTCCCTCCCCGAGCCAGAGCCGAGGGAAGGGCCGTCCCAGGACACAGCCTCCAAGCAGATGAACAGAGGTAACATGACTTTTTACAATGGGGCTTTGATCTACCTAATGTCACAAGACAGGCTGGGGACAAATGCCAGGCTCTATGTGACTCCCGGTTCCCACAGGAGGTGCCCTGTGCAGGTATTCACACGGGGAGATTCTTGGCAGGCCCGGCACCTGGGTCTGTGCCCGTCACAGACACAGCCATGGCAATTAGGTTTTGGAAAATGGTGGGTGAGGTTGCTTTGGCCGAGGCTCCAGCCTCCGGCCTGAAAACAGCATGGGGAGGGAGGGGGTGGCTGCCGCCCCCAGCGGCAGTGGGCACCCTCCTGGTGTGAATGAGGGTGAGTGTGAGGAATTCCTGTGGTTGGGGCAGCCGGCGGGGCACAAAGGCTAGGCTGGCATCCTTGACAATACCTGCTCTGTCCCTGTGGATGGTGACCTTCACCAAAGCTCTCCGTGAATGGGCCACAGCTGCTCCCAGGTGTGTCCAAGCCGCCGGCGTTGGAAACACATGAAGAGACCAGGACCGTGGAGAGAGTTCACAGGACGTTTTGTAATTTGGGTGCCCACGAGGGCTGCCCTGGGGCTCGGGCCAGGCCGCAGAGGCTGCCAGGGGCCCATCCTTGGGCTGTCAGGACGCATTAGCCCCACCTGTGCTCAGGAACAATGGCCACACCTGTAGCTCGCCCCATCCCCGGGTGGATGAAACGGGCCGCGCCTCCTGCCTGCAGCTCCAGTTTCCCTGCTGGGTTGCCCTCGAAAGGCTGCAGCAGGATGTGCAAGCCACCCAGAAAGACAGCGGGCGGCAGGGGCTGAGGGAGGCGGGGCCCCTGCCCCTCCACAGGCCAGGAGTCTAGTTTAGACAAGGAGGTCCCAAGGTTTCTCCCAGCCAGCTTTCGGAAGCATGCTACTCATGCCAGGGTCCTGCCCGCCCCGACTCCCTCTCACCCGTCCTGAAACCCCAAAGTCTGGGCCCACCAGGAAAGACACCTGGGCAACCTCATTTTCTCTCCATTTTGGCCTCTCGGCACGCTGAGGTCAACCCCCTCATGTGTAGACACAGTTACATATTCAACACACTGAGGTCAGTCCCCTGATGTGTAGACACAGTTACACATTTAACAGACACTTAGATACCTTTTGCCAGGCACTGAGTACTTGTGTCATACAAATACTCATTTCAGCCTCTCAACAACCCCAGCAGAAGCTGCTATCAGCATCGACTCCATTTCACATTTGGGGAAACTGAGGTTCAGAGAGGTGAAGTCATGCAGCTGGTAACAGGCAGGCCCAGGCTGTGAACCCAGGCAGGCCCGAGACTGTGCCGAGCCCCACCGCCTCCCACCTGCCCTCCTCCAGCTCACGCCACACCCCGGGGCTCTTTGGTGACACCTGGAAGGGACCCCTGAGCACGTCTTTCATGCCCATGGCCTTCCTACGGCCCACCTTCCTGGGGCTGAGACTAGGTCATGCTCATGCTGTACCCCAGCCCTAGGCTACACGAGTGTTTGTTAATGGGGGATCCCCCGGAGCTGGGGGATCATAGGTGTCATTTCTGGAACTTCCCTCTGGGCCAGGCATGCCCCAAACACTGCCATGCATGCCCTCATGTTCCTTTTCCAGCATCCCATGGAGAAGCAGGAGCGCCGTTCCCATTTCACAGATAGGAAACGGGATGAGAGCAATACGGTGCCCAGCCAAGCATCGCCCAGCTCCTCCTCCGCGGCAGTCGTGGGTTCCAGGCTTGGCGCCTCTTCTGCCTCCATCCTGAATGAAAAAGGGAGCAACAGAAAGGAAGGGAGAAGGAGTACGGGGTCATTCGGAGGCAGGAGAGGCCTCGCGCCACCTGCCAGTAGCAGCCCCAGCGACCCCAAGAGGTAAAGGCCTGCACTGGCCCTCACCAGGGAAGTATTTAGATACCAGAAAGCTGGCTTGCACAGCCACAGCAGGCCCTTTAATCCAGGCAGGGGGACAGGAAATGGATGGGAATTTGCATTTTTTAAATGAGTCCTCCACTCGGCTCGGTGGGACGAAGGAGACTACCTAAGCCTCAGTGTCAGCTGCGTGCGGACCCAACCCATGTGGGCAGGCATCTGTTGGTGCGGGGCACTTAGCCAATGGGGAGCCTCAGGAACGGAATAATGAAGAATTAATTTACCCAGCAGGGGCCTTTCCATGTCTGGGAAGCTCTTGCACCTTCTTGGAGGGGGGCAGGCGTGTTTCCTTGGGAGGAATGCATTACACAATCGGTCTGTCAAGAGGCTGCATTCAGGAATCCGGGCGAGGTGGCTCCAGCCTCCGTCTGCTTCTTTGATTCACACACTCCTCACGGGCAGCCCCAGCCCCTTGGCTCTCTGCTGCCCTGTGGGACACACACCACCCGTGAGGGACCCCACGCAGGAAGCAGGCCTGGGTCTGCAGCAGAGCGAATGCAGCGGGACTCAGACGCTTCATCCCAGGTGGTCTAGAGGCCACGGAACCAGAATCTCACAAGAAGTCTGCCGGCAGGTGCTCCTGCCCTGGCACGCTAGACAGACGAGCACGCGGAGCCCAGAGAGGTGCAGCAGGGAGCACGCAGCCTCGTGGCCAGCAAGAAACAGAGCAGAGACGTGGACCCGGACCTGCAATGACCGATCGCCCCAGACAGGTGCGGTGCACTGCAGATGTAGGTTAGGACACGAGGTGGAAAGTGTCTCTCGGGGCTGAGACCCAGAAATAAGAAAAGACCATCAGAAAGATCAAAGAGACATCAAAATATCGAGAAAAGGGAGACAAGCTGGTGACGTGTTTCCATGTTCCAGGAGGAGGCTTCCGACCGCTCCATGCTGGGGACTATGTCACTAGATCACAGAGGCTCCACTCAGTTCCCCGGTGGAACCTCCTGGGAGACTCAATAGAAAAGACTCCCACATTGGCCAGGCGCGATGGCTCATGCCTATAATCACAGCACTTTGGGAGGCCGAGGTGGGTGGATCACGAGGTCAAGAGATCGAGACCATCCTGGTCAACATGGTGAAACCCCGTCTCTACTAAAACTACAAAAAAATTAGCTGGGCATGGTGGTGCGTGCCTGTAATCCCAGCTACTCAGGAGGCTGAGGCAGGAGAATTGCCTGAACCCAGGAGGCGGAGGTTGCGGTGAGCCGAGATTGCGCCATTGCACTCCAGCCTGGGTAACAAGAGCGAAACTCCGTCTCAAAAAAAAAGGAAAAAGAAAAAAGAAAGAAAGAAAAGACTCCCACATTATAGAGGGACAAGAGGGAACGAGCTGGCAAGCTGCAACAAGAATCTGAAGGGAAATCAACACTGTCACAAGGGACAGGGACAGATTGGAGAATTCCTTTCTATCAAAATCTGAGATTGGCAGAGTTTGCATTAAGAGAATGCAACCCATTCATTTTACTGATGAGGAGACAGAAGGTCAAGGTGGACCATGGTGAGGTTTGACTCAACGTTCTGGGCTTCCCATCCTGATGGTTCCTTCTATATCACAGATCCTAGCTTACAAATACAAAGTCCAATTTTTCAAAGAGGCATATAATTAAAAAAAAAAAAAATCCCAACACTCAGGTGTCTGACCCCGATTCATCATTTCTTCTGTGTACCGAGAAAGAAGACAATCTGAAAAGCCTCCACGCCGCACGGTTTCCACTCTGTGATGTTGTGGAAAAGCTCAAACCATGGGGACGGTAAAGGCAGCACTGGTTGCCGGGGGTTGGAAGGGAGGGAGGAAGAGGTGGAGCACCAAGGGTTTCCAGGGCAGTGGAAGTCTTCTGCGGGATGCCGTCATGGTGGATGGATGTCATCATGCATTTTTCAAAACCCACAGATTGTACAACACAAAGAGTGAACTCTAATCTAAATATGGATTTTAGTAATTTTCCCAATAAAAAATTAGGACTCAGTAATGTATCGATACTGGCTCATCGATTATAACTAGTATACCACACCAGTGCAGGATGTTAGTAATGGGGAAACTGAGGGAGGCTGGGAAGGAGGTATATGGAACTCTATGCACAATCTGTTCAATCACTCTGTAAATCAAAAATACTTAAATAATTTTTTACATATCTATGCGGTCTACATAAGGGCTGTGTGTCATCCAGGACTCACCTTGGGCTGAGTCTCGGTCTGCAAAGTTCTCTCCCAGACCCTAGTGAAGAGGAAAGAGCGAACGTAGGAGCAGGCCAGGGTCCCAGGCTGGCTTGCTGGCTTCTGTAGTAATGGCACCTAACAAGGGCCTAGTATGCAGTACGTTCTCAATAAATATGTGTTAAGTTGATGAATGTTTGGGGCATCAGAAACCCAGGGACCTCCTGGGATGAGGGAGTGAGGTTCCAGCGGAGTGGGGAGAAAGTAGCAGAGACATGGTGGGTATTTTGGCCCCTTGAGGGGACCCAGAGAAGGAAGGAGCTGGTGTCACTGCTCTTTTCCCCACAGAGTGGGGAGAAGCTCCCTCCAGGTTGCCAAAGTCATCTCAGCACACAGGAAGAAATGATGAATCGGGGTCAGACACCTGAGTGTTGGAATTTTTTTTTAATTACATGCCTCTTTGAAAAATTGGACTTTGTATTTGTAAGCTAGGATCTGTGATACAGAAGGAACCATCGGGATGGGGAGTCCAAAACGCTGAGTCAAACCCACCATGGTCCACTTTGACCTTCTGTCTCCTCATCAGTAAAATGAATGGGTTGCATTCCTCTTAGTGCTAACTCTACCAGTCTAAGACTGTAATAGAAAGGAATTCTCCAACCTGTCCCTGTACCCTGTGATAGTGTTGACTGCAACCTTCAGAACAGAACATCTCCACTACCTTGCTTAAAACAGAAGAAGAAGCCATTTCCCTAGGTTTTATGGATGGAACTCTGACTTCTTCCTTGGATGTTTTGTGTGTTCGGAGCCACTCCCTTCCCGCTCTGACCTAAAGACCTCACACGCTTAAGAAAAAAACAGAAAAGCAAAAAAAAAAAAAAAATTAATAGCAATTGGTTATGTTCAATTCCAGAAGATCAAGAAATAGAAGAATCTAGTAAATTACAGGTAATGAACAAACACAGCAACATGCCAGGCACTGCACAACATGAAAGGCACACAGTGTTGAATTAGGACACAATCTTAGCCGGTGCAGTGGCTCACACCAGTAATCCCAACACTTGAGGGGCCAAGGCAGGAGGATCACCTGAGGTCAGGAGTTCAAGACCAGCCTAGCCAACATAGTGAAACCCCTGTCTCTACTAAAAATACAAAAATTAGCCATCCCTGGTGGTGGGCACCTGTAATAACACTGCTACTCAGGAGGCTGAGGCAGAAGAATCGCTTGAACCCAGGAAGCGGAGGTTGCAGTGAGCCGAGATCGCACCACTGCACTCCAGCCTTGGTGACAGAGCCAGACTCTGTCTCAAAAAAAAAAAAAAAAGATGCAATCTCACTCTGAAGGAGCTTACAGCCCACTGAGGGAGACAGACACGCACCAATACCCAGAGTGTAGTGTGAGGTGCTTTAGGAGATGCATTTATTAGGAGCGGGAGCTGCCATTTCCTTGTCATGCGTAGAAGCCCATCCCTGTGCTAAGCCCTTCACCTGCTTTCTTGCATCAAACCCTCTAGAAATCAAAGCTGAATGAAAGATTAAGATTCAACCCTTTGTTTCAGTGCACCCAAGTCAGTGAGGATGAGGGGGAAAGGGGAAGGAAGATGGGAAACAAGGAGATGCTACGTATTACTGCGCTGGCTGCAGCTCTGCAAGAAGCTCTTGACAGGATGGGGTTTCTGTAGAAGGGCTTCCACACCTCTGTACCTTAGGAGTCCACAGAAGGGAGGAAGGTGGGAGGATGTATCAGCCTGTCTTCATCCCATGTCTCATTTCCTTTGGGTCACGTTTAACCCCCAGTGTGTTTCATCCCAGGAGAAGATGCTCAGAGAGCTGGACCCCTTCCCCTAAGGAGTGTGTTTCATCCAACTGTGAAACTGAAGGGTGGTCCAGCAAGGGTAAGGTGTCAACTGAGACAGAAAGAAGCAATGAAGGTAATATGAAGTGGTGTGTGAGGATAGGGTAGGATACACCAGTTTATCTTCTTGTGTGACTCATGATGGCCCTAAAAGGTAGGCAAGGTCATCCCCATTGCTCAGATGGAAAAATTTAAACGTCATATTGAAGCCGCTACCCATGAAGGAAAAACTGATATAAGACTTGCCATCCTGCATTTAAAGAAAAAAAAGAAAAAGAAAGAAAAAGAAAGAAAGAAAGAAATCTAGAAAAATGGACAAAATGAATGAAATAAAACAGCCTGTGGTTGTGATCCCTGGAGAACAGGAAAACAAAGTTGAGCCCTACGGTCCCCTTGACTTTCTGCCTGAGGGCAATTCCCAGACCACAGTGCAAGGGAGGGGTGTTCAGTAGTCTCTCTGAGTTGAGAGGCCACATACAGGAACTTAAAAAGGTCAGGAACGCTACAATTTGTGAGGCACAGTACTAAAGAGGAAGGAACTACACAGAAAAGGAATTCCAGAACTATTCTCAGGATCACCCTGAGTCTTTGGATGAAGATTAATCCACACGTATGTGTGGGTAAACTGCACGAGGCTGGGCAAAGCAGGACGGCTGGAGAGCGGCAAGCTGAACAACAAACAGCTCACCCAGGGCTGAGACACATGCGCGCAGGTTCCTACCAGCCAGAGCAGAGAAACGGTGCTGAGTACCTGGGGCATAAATATAAACTAGCTGTACAATATGGCCTACTCTAGAACTGGCCTACAAAAGCTTTAAATGAGCTTTAGAAGGGTTAAACCAATATACAAATAATTTTGCTCCCTGCCAAAACAAATTTCAATACACCATAAAGCAGTGGTCCCCAGCCTTATTGGGACCAGGGACTGGTTTCGTGGAAGACAATTTTTTCATGGACTGGGGTTGGGTCAGGGATGGTTTTGGGATGAAACTGTTCAACCTCAGATCATCAGGCATTGGATTCTCATAAGGAGCATACAATCTAGAGCCCTTGCATGCACAGATTCACACTACGGTTCACACTCCTATGAGAATGCAATGCTGCCACTGATAGCTCAGGCGGTAATGCTCACCTGCCTGCAGCTCACCTCCTGCTGTGCAGTCCAGTTTCTAACAGGCCACGGATGCTAGAAACATCCAGTACAGTTTGTGGCCAGGGTTGGGGGCCCCTGCTGTAAAGGAAGACAACAACATTGAAACTCAGAACAATGGGGCATAAATAATGTCTAGTGGCTGAGCAAAAATTACTAGATATGCCAACAAGCAGCAACATTTGACCAATAACCAGGAGAAAGAACAGTCAAAAGAAATAGACTCAGATACAATAGCGATAATGGCATTAAGAGACAATGACTTTGAATGGCTATTTAAATATGGTCAATAATTGAAAAATAATCTTGAACATAATGAAAACAGAAATGAAAGGCATATATTTTTAAATGAAACTTTTTTATAAATGGAACTATAGAAATGAAAATACAATATCCAAAATAAAAAATTCAATGCCTAGACTTAATAGTACATTAAATACCACAGAAAAAAAAATATTAGAGACCTCAAGGCATAGCAATATTGAGACACAGAGAAGAAAGTTAACAAAATGAATGGAGACTCAGTGCCCTGTGGGACAACATTGAGTGGTCTAGCGACCATGTTTATGGAGTCCTAGACAGAAAGGAGGAGAAGGATTGTAAAAGTATTAGAAGAAATAATGTTTTTAATTTAATGTAAATTATAAACACATTTATGTAAGAAGCTCAAAATGAATCATAGACCTAAATGGAAAATCTAAAGCTATAAAAATTCTAAATGAAAACACAGGAACTAAACCTTTTAATTCACTGAAGAAGAAAATGGATACATTGGACTTCATCTAAACTAAAAACTTTTGTTCATTGAAAGTCTCAAAAATGAAAAGACAAGCTACGTTCTGGGAGAAAATATTTATAAATCAAATATCTGATGAAAAAAAAAACCCTTGTATTCAAAAATATTTAAAGAACTTTCAAAACTCAATAATTAGAAAATAAGTCACACAATCACAAATGAGCCAAACATTTCACTAAAGATAAATGACTGGCAAATAAGCACATGAAAAGACATTCAACATCAACAGCCATTAAGAAAAGCAAATTAAAACCACAGTGAGGCCGGGCACAGTGGCTCACACCTGTAATCCTAACACTTTGGGAGACTGAGACAGGTGGATCACTTAGGAGTTCGAGACCAGCCTGACGAACACGATGAAACCCCCATCTCTAGGAAGAATACAAAAATTAGCTGGGCACGCCTGTAATCCCAGCTGCTCAGGAGGCTGAGGCAGGAAAACTGCTTGCACCCAGGAGGTGGAGGTTGCAGTGAGCCGAGATCATACCACTGCACTCCAGCCTGGGCAATGGAGCAACTTTGTCTCAAAAATAAAAATAAAACACCGAGGTATCACTATAGAACTCTTTTAAATGACCAAAAAATATTATTTATTTAGTAAAGAGGAACCTCACTATTCCAAGTATTTGGAGGATTTGGAGTAACTGGCAGTCTCACGCGTTGCTCGCGGGAATGCAAAATGGCTCAACCACTTTGGAAAACAATTTGATAGCTTCCTATAAATGTGTACACTTACCATTGAACCCAAAATCCCACCCCAGTTATTTGCCCAAAAGAAATGAATATTTATATTCACATAGAAACCTGTATGTGAATATTTTTTTGTGGCTGTATTAAAAATTGCCAACCTGGAAACAACCCAAATCATCAATGCATAAACTGTGGTACATCCACACAGTGGAATACCATTCAGCAATAAAAACACATGAAATATTGGTATAGTCATTGAAATACTGTTACACATTATGCCCAGTGGAAAAATCCAGACTGAAAAGGCTACATACGACATAATTCCACTTATATGATGTTCTGGAAAATGCAAAATTATAAGGACAAACAGTAGAACAGTGGTGATGCAGACTGAACTGTGCCTCCCACAAAATTCATACGTTGAAGCCCTAACTCCTGATATGACGGACAGACAGTCCCTGACTTATGATGTCTACCTTTACGACGGGTTTACCCAGACATAAACTCATTTTAAATCGAGGCACTCCTTACAACTTATTCATACAATGGGGCTATAGTTTCCACTGAATGTGCATCACGTTCACTCTACTGGAAAGCCAAAAAGTCATGAGTCAGACCATCATAAATTAAGGACTGTCTGCTGTGTTGCCAGTATTAAAGGCATTTTCAATTCGTGGTGGGCTTATTGGAACACAGCCCCATTGTAAGTTAGGGAGCATCTTCATTTGGAGACAAGGTCTTTAGGAAGGTAATTAAGGTTAAAGGTTAAATGAGGTCATAAGGGTTGTGGAGCCCTAATCTGGTAGGATAAGTGTCCTTACAAGAAGAAGAGATACAAGCACTTCTCTCTCTCTCTCTCTCTCTCTCTCTCTTTCTCTCTTTCTCTCTTTCTCTCTCTCTTCCCACCATGTACAGACACAGCAGAGAGAGAGCCATCTCCAAGCCAGGAAGAGAGGTCTCACAAGAAACCAATCCTGGCAGGCTCAGAGGTCAGGAGTTGGAGACTAGCCTGGCCAACATAGCAAAAACCCATTTCTACTAAAAATACTTTTTTTTATAAATAGCTAGGAATGATGACAGGCACCTGTAATCCCAACTGCTTGGGAGGCTGAGGCAGGAGAATCACTTGAACCCAGGAGGCAGACGTTGTAGTGAGTCAAGATCTCACCACTGCACTGCAGCCCGGGTGACAGAGCAAGACTCCGTCTCAGAAAAGAAAGAAAGAACCCAACCCTAATCACACATGATCTTGGACTTTTAGTCTCCAGAATGAGCAAAAATAAATGTCTGTTGTTTAAACCCCCTAGTTATGGTGTCCTTTATGGCAGCCCAAACAGACTAAATACAGTGTAGTTTCTAGAAGTTGAGGGTGGGAATGGGGCACTTTCAGGGGCGATGGAAACATTCTGTATCCTGACTGTGTAGGTAGTTAAACAGCTGCATGTGTTTGTCAGAACTCACAGAAGTATACGCTCAAAAGCATGAACTTTGCAGGATATAAATTATACCACAATAAAGTAGCAAAAAGCTACACATCATTTACAGAGGGACAAAGATAAGAATGATGAAGACATCTCATCAGAAACAATCCAAGCCAGAAGAAACCAGTGTGCGGCGGGGCTGTGGGGCAGGAGCAAAAGCCACGACCTGCATCTCAGAGGAGGTGCCCTTGAGCTCAGACTCCAAGCGGGAGAACAGGCAAGGCATCCAGGAAGAGCATTTTCAGAAGAGGGAGGCAGCAGCCTGGACCTCAGCTCACAGCTTGGAGGGGAGGGGAAGCTCAGCCTGCAAGGTGGGCTTGGGCTGGAAACACAAGCTGGGACCAGACTCACAAAAGCCTCCAACTCCAGGCTGAGGACGCTGAATTTTACTCTGGAAGTTGCTGAGGTACATCGTGGACAAGCGGCAGCTGCAACGTTTCCCCCTCGCCACGCAGTGCCAAGCATACGAAGTGGCATTCTGCTGGCCCTAACTCAGCTTGGGGACCTAATTTTAGCCCCCAAGCTGTCAGATGTTGCAGAGCCTCCACTCTGGAGCTTCCATGGGCCAATGTCAGAGAGCTGGGAGTGCAGGAATTGCTGAGATAAGCTCCCACGACGGGAACAAGCACATCACCTTCTCCAGCCACATCACGAGGCCCTCCCTGGCCTGCCTGCCCCCCACCTGCTGACCTCACCAGCTCCTGGTTACTGTCACTTTGCTCCAGCCACACTGACCCTCTTGCTGCCCCTCCAACACACCAAGCAAACTCCTGCCTCAGGGCCTTTGCACATACTGTGGCTGCTGGAGCCAGAAACACACCTTCCCAGGTCCCCACAGGGCTCACTGTCAGCCATTTCTCAGGGCTCTGTTCACATGCCCCTTGTCAGTGCAGCATGCCCTGACACCCTGACTCAAACAGCCCCCACGCCCACCCCCAGACGGCCGCATCCCCTTGTCCTGCTGAATCCCTCTTCCTATCACTCACGCCTTTGTTTCTTCAGGAGAGTGGACCCTGAGTGAATATCTATTGAGTGAGGAGGGGATGCCTTCTGGAAACTCCTTCCACCCGAACTCTGGCTCTAATGAAAACTGCCCATGGCAGCCAGACTCCTTGTCATGGAGTGGTGCAGAGGAGGAAAGGCCAGGGCTTGGGGCTGAGATCCACGACCGGCCACATCCTGCAGGGCTGGAGGCTGCCGTTGCCCCTTGTAGGAGTTCCTCCCTCCTGGGTCACAGCTCTAAAATGAGGGTTCCAGAAACTCTTACCCTACAACCCAGAGGGCTGCACCAGATTGTAACTCACCCAGTGTCCACTCGGTAACATGTAAAAAGTCTGCATTTGTCTGTTTTCACACTACTATGAAGAACTTCCTGAAACTAGGTAATTTCCGAGGAAGAGCGGTTTAACTGACTCATAGTTCTGCACGGCTGGGGAGGCCTCAGGAAACGTACGAAGACAGCGGAAGGTGAAGGGGAAGCAAAGACCTTCCTCACATGGAAGCTGGAAAGAGAGAGCTAGCAAGAGCCGGGAAAACTGCCTTATAAAACCATCAGATCTCACTGTCACAAGAACAGCATGGGAGAAATCGTCTCCATGACCCAATCACCTCCCACCTGGTCCCTCCCTTGACATGTGGGAATTTTAGGGATTATAATTCCAGATGAGAGTTGAGTGGGGACACAGGGCCAAACCGTATCAAGGTCCGCACTACACAGCAGGTCCTATATGTGGTGCTGGGGTTACACAGCGAGCCAGACAGACAGGTTTATTGCCCTGTCCACACTCACCCTTCACCCCAACCACGTAGTTCAATAGCGTAGACATAGAGTCAGCTGGACCATCACAATACTGACTAATAGCAGGTGCGGTACAGGGCAAGCTCAGGGCCCAGGGATCCTGTAAAGGCAGGCGGCCCGGCCTTCATAGGACAAGGTGGTCAAGGACAGCTTCCTGAAGTAAATGACCCCCTGCACAGAGTGACCTTCATTAAACAAAAGCTGATCATGCATCAGCTTGCCATGGCTCTCCTGGGCCCAGATGCTGAGGGGCGAGGTCCCCAACTCAGCATGGAAGGCCCTCCCCAAATACATCCCTTCCCCCTCACCCCCATGGAGCCTGCACCAGGGCATCACCAGGTTTCTCTCCATGCCCCATGTATCATTATTCATTGCTGCATAACAAATGACCCCAAACATGGAGGGTTAAACAATAGGCATTTGCTACCCTCACAGTTTCTGTGGCTTACAAGGCTGGGCTGGGCAGTGCGGGCTGAGGGTCTCTGGTGAAGGTACAAGCAGACGTCAGCTGGAGAGGTAGTCCTCTGAAGGTTTGCCCAGGTCAGAGGATCTAATTCCAAGGCAGCTCCCTCACACGGCTGGTAAGTGGGTGCTGGCTGGTGGTAGGAGTCCGCAGTTCCTCGCCAACGTGCCTCTTGAGTGTCCTCATGTCATAGGAGCTGGCTTCCCCCAGAGAGAGAGATTCATGAGCAGAGAGGGGTTCACTGAGCAGAAGTTCAATGCCTTTTTGTCCTAGACGCACGCTGCCACCTCTGCTGTACTGCCTCCATCACACAGAACAACCTGGGCTCGAGGTGGGAAGACACCACACAAGGGTGTGAATGCCAGGAGGAGTCCCACGTGGACTTGGGGCTGGCTGCCACACACTGTGCCTGTCCCTAGAGGCTGAGCAGAGCTCAGTCTCCCTTGGTCTTCTCCTCTGTGAATTCCTCCTGGGTGTATTTCAGGCTGCGTTAAGAGCTCCCTGGGGTTCCCATTTCACTGGCCTCAACCAAAGCATGGATCCTGTCCTGCTGCAATTGTTTCTCCCTGACCTTTCTTAAGAATGACACTATATTCAGGGGAAAGACCATGTCTGACTCACCTATGTCCCCTACACTCAGCAACCAGAGCATGTTTCAGCACTATATGTGGTTCAATAAGCATCAGTTGGGTGGGTGGATGGGTGCGTGGGGGGATGGATGGATGGATGGATGGACAGATGGATGAATGGATGGATGGATGAGTTGATAGGTGGATGGATGGATGGATGGATTGATGGGTAGATGGGTAAATGGGTGGTTGGATATATGAGCAGATGGGTGGATGGATGGATGGATGGATGGATGGACAGATGGATGAATGGATGGATGGATGAGTTGATAGGTGGGTGGATGGGTGGATGGATGGATGGATGGACAGACAAGTGAATGAATGCATGGATGGATGGATAGATGAATGTTTGGAAGGACAGATGGGTGAATGGGTGGATGTGTGAGTGGGTAGATGGATGCATAAGTTGGCAGATGGATGAGTGGATGGATAGAAATATGGATGGATGATTTGATATGTGGATGGATGGATGAATGGTCAGATGGATGTATGGGTGGTTGGATGGATGGGCAGATGGGCAGATGGGCGGATGGATGGATGGATGGATGGATGGATGGATCAATGGGCAAGTGAATGGATGAGTGAATGGATGGATAGATGAATGGTTGGGTGAATGGATGAGTGAATGGGTGAATGTGTGAGTGGGTAGATGGATACATACATCAGTGAATGGACGGGTGGTTGAATGAACAGATTCATGAATGGATGGACTAAAAAATGGCTTTTCTCATATTCTCCTGCAAGGTAATTGCTTGGGATTCTTAGAAATTTAAAGCCAAAAGAGACCTCAAAATTCATCTACAGACACATCCCCAGATCCAGCAATGTCATCATTTATTGAACAGGCCTGGATTCCAAGGGTTGGTAAAAAAGAGTTTCCTACTCTCCCCATGATCTACCTCCTGGCAGCAATGCCCCCACCTCCTTCTCACAAGTGAGCACATATGCATGTGTGCACATGGGGACACACCACAAGGATGCTCACATGCCCCAGACATGAGGAGGCTGCTGTCATAAAGCAGCCTGCATAGCCCCATGCTAGCCTCACTGAAGCCAACAGTGCCACACAAGGCCAGCTTCACCTAGCATCTCATCCTGAGCTGGGCAAGGGCAGGGCCTGGAGATCCCCAGGGAAGTGGGAGGGGAGGATATCCCTGAGCCCTTCTCACCTGCCCACCTGCTCTGCCATCTGGTCTAACCAGATCTCACAGAGCCCCTCCCCCACCCTTCTGCTTCCCTCCCTTCCTCTCCCCAGAGGCCTCTGAGTGGACCCAAGATCCCCACAAACCCTGTGATCAGGGAATTGAATACTTGCACCAGGTTTTGCTTCTTTTAGGAGGATTGGAAATACTCTTTCGAGCAGACCCCTTTACGGGGAATGCAATAATACACAGCCTCGGCCACCACCCAAGATCTTGAGTGAAAGTAGGAAGCAAGCAACTCATTTCCGAGCAAATGGTGAGGCTGGGAACTGCCGTGGTCTGGACTTTGGGGCCTAAACTTTAGGCAATCTGGAGAATCTGTTTAAGAAAAATAACACAAAGTGCAAAAAAATCATTTAGAATGAGAAATGACAAATTTGTAAAAAGCTGAGCAAACCATAAATATCAAATCAGAAAAATAGCATATGATTCCATGAGTAAGCAACTGCCTCGGCCACCTCGATAATACTCTTTTTCAAAAAATAATACCCTTTTCCTACATCTTTTTTTGGCCGCATATTCTTTGATGGCTTCTTTGTATGACAGTAATTTTGTAATATGATTTATCACAGAGAGAATGAAAGACACGTCAGTCTGCCCTCCAGCACATGTTTTTTGTTTGTTTTTGTTTGTTTGTTTAAAAGCAATTTGTTTACTTTTGATGTCTTAGGGAAATTTCTTTCAATTGCATGGGTTGTTATTGGCAAGGTCATATCTGAAATGTCCTCCACAATTTCTTGCCAGGACAGGGAATCTGTCTAAGAGACTCCAGTTCTTTGATATCATTCATGCTCCTGATGACCACAGTTGGGCAACCAGGCCAACTCAGGCCCTCATCCCCTCTGATCCTGGGAGGAGGAGGTGGCCATGAAGCCTGGACACCATGGCCCTGAGCAAGAAGCACAGCTGTGACTGCTTCGTCTTCCTCCTTGGAGTCAAGAGAGAGAGTCAGTGATCCATGAGGTCCATCTGCCAGGTTGCCATAGCCCACAGCCCCACCCACAGCCCAGGAGAATCTTTCAGTGTAGGGGCAGGGAAGCCCACACTGAACTATGGGACGGACCCACACAAAAGAAGGGCCTGTAGCTTCAGTGTCTTTATCTTCATTGACAATCTGGTGGTGCCTCCTACAAATGCCCAGAGGCTCAGCTCCCAAAGACTGTTTCAGTTTTCCCTTCCTTCCTACAGCCTGGCCCCCACATGAGGTCCTAGAGGCAAGCCCATGCCTGACACCCAAGGAAGTGGTCTGAATGTTCTGCTGGAAAGAGGGCAGAGAGTGAGCAGAGGAAAGGCACCCAGGTGAGGCTGTGGCCATGCCCAGAGGCCCCTAAATTTTGAAGAACAGTCATTCAAGGCCCTAATTTAGGCCTTCAAAGCCTGCAATTCCAGACATTCCCATGGGGAGGCGCTCAGCCCAGTGGTTGAAGACATAGAGACCTCATTGCAATGCAGGTGTTTCTCCTGGGTCTTTCAGAGAATGTAAGTGGGGCAGGGGGCAGCCCACACCCCCAGCAGCCTTTGCTAAGCACCAGGGAGGGTATCCACACCAGCTGTGGGAATTGGTAAATGCCCCAATTTTATGGATGTGGGAGAAGCTGCCCATCCCTAAACTCCTAACTCAGCCCCCTGTCCTGCCCCCACCACATGAACACTGATCCCACAAATTCTGCCACCACTAGGAAAAGCCAAACGTCTAGACCAAACTGAGGCTCTCAACCTTATTCCCAAGGAAAGACAACTGCCCTGGAAGGATGAGAATGGGGCTGAGGAGATCACCACAAGGGGGCAGAGGGCTCAGCTTTGCTTAGACACAAACTTGCCCTGTGCTTCTGGAAAGTTCCCTACTGCCCCAAGCCTTGATTTCTTCATCTGTAAAATGAGCATGCAAGAAGACATCTCTGAATCCTGCCCAGCTCCAGGGAACTACGACAACGCCAACCTTCACAAAAACACAGCCAGGCTCACCTGTGTCAGCAACCAGTAGGTGCATGCTCCCTCAGCCTTGGACTCAGGCCACCCCTGTGGGCTGGGATTCCAAGTTCTGCCCCTAGTGTATCTCATCCTTATTCAGGACCCAGAACTCGGTCTGTTCTCACCAGACCACCTGCTATGCCCCAGGCAGGTCATGGGTTACATCAATTCCAGAGGCATGCCACTGTTTCCACCCATGGGAAATGCTCTAGGCCTCACCGCCATCCCCCAGCCTTGGACACAGACCCCTTTCTCTAGGAGGCCTTTCTTTGCAACTGTGCCCAAAGAGACCCTGAGTCTCAGTTTCCTCTGCTGTAAAATGAGGACATTCGTATAGGGTAGCTTGGAAGAAGTGGGCTCATGACATCTCACACCATCCTACACCGAAGAGGTGGCAAGATATTTACCATATTTTCTTTTCCATTTTTAACAGTAGGAACAGTTGTTAAATAGCAATCATTTAACAAGCTGCCAAACGATCCCAGAGCAAACCTGCCTCCTACAGCAGAAACCGGGTTCAGAGGCAGGCCCAGCCAATACTCACAAGGTAGGAGCCTTGTCTCTGAACCCTGTTTCTGATCAGCAGTCTTCCTTGTTCCCACTGTCAGTGTCCCAGCATGGAGCGGACATGTCTCTCATGCCGGAATCTCAGCGTTCCCATGACCGTGTCATCTCTACCACTTAGCGCTGGGCCATCAGGGGCAGAGCTTGCCTTGGTGCACCCACAGTGTCTCACAGGGGTTCACTTTGCTGGTGAGGCACTTCTTGAGGATTACAATGTTCTTTCCCTGAGTGTTGACTGGAAAACCCAACAAAGGTGTTCATCCTCTCCTGATTTCTCTGGACAGATGAAACATGTGGGTGGTTTCCAGGGCTAACCTAAGCCGCCAGAGGGTGGGCGGGAGGGGCGAGCAGGGAGCAGATCAAGTGACCTATGAAAGCGGACCCTCGCCGTCCACCCACCTCCAGACTGGCTGGGGAGGTTTTCTGTGGGATGGGAGAAGAGTCCAGATGGGGCCGAAAGGACGTACTGCCTTTGATATTCTATCCCCTGCTCATGCTCAGTTTCCCCTTTTGCCCTATTTCAGCCTTGCACTAAGCAGAAGGCTGTGAGTGTTTTCTCTTTAAAAAAAAAAATAATCACAAACCTCTTTCAATTGTGCTCATTCTGCTACCACTGAAGATGTGGGAAAAGGTGTATGAGGCTTTTCTTTTTTTAACAATAGGTACAAGCTGTCAATTCATTCTAGGGAAAACCCACCTCCTACAGTTTCTGGAAAAGACACTTTAATGTCAAAAGGGAAAATAAGCCTTCTGATGTGGTTGTTTAAATAACTCCTGATCAATCTAATTTGAATACAAAATGGCCTATATCAATTCATTTACTTTTGCGAAGAAGGAAGAACTCTTCGTGGGAAGCTGGAGGTGTCCATCTCAACCCACAGGGTCAGTTCAGAATCATCTTCTTCCCCACAGCTTCAGCTATGGCTGGAAAAGGCGAGCTGGTTAGGAGCCAGAAAGTCATGCTGCAGCCTCTGGCAACCGTGGGAGTGGACTCATGTCCTTCACCTCCCCTCGTGGAAGCTCACTATCCTCATCCGTAAAATGGAAGCATCCCTGCTGACCACCGAGGATGGATGTGAAATGATAACACATCCTCTGGAGAGACAGACACCTCCTCTGAAGTCCTGAAAAAATGTGACACAGAACATACTGTGGCAATTTTGACTTAGAGGAAAGTTTACGTCACAGTCAAAATTCTGCATGGGGGAGGGACAGTGGGGGGTGGGGAGTTGGGGAGAGATAGCATGGGGAGAAATGCCAGATATAGGTGAAGGGGAGGAAGACAGCAAATCACACTGCCATGTGTGTACCTATGCAACAATTTGCATGTTCTTCACATGTACCCCAAAACCTAAAATGCAATAAAAAAAATTCTGCATCATGGATGTTGTCAGGCTGAATAAAAGATCAAGACCCAGCTATCTGCTGTATACAAGAAATCCACTTTAGATACACATAGACACATTGGTCAAAGTAAAAGGATGGGAAAAAACATAGAGGGATGTTTCATCATGCTAACATCACTTACCGAGATGTAACCATTGTAAATGTGTACACAATGAATGGGAGCTTTTCAAAACACACTAGACAAAAGCAGACACAACTTAAGACAGAAATTTAAAAATCCACAATTTTAGGCGAAGATGTCAACACTTCTCTCTCACTAATTGGCAGAACAACTCCACAGAAAATTAACAGGAATGCAGATGACTTAACACAATCAACCAACTTGAGCAAAGCAAACTCTTAGGAAGGGAAGCAAGCCTATAAAAGGCACTGTGGCTTCTGTCTTAGTCTCTCTTGCACCAATTTATTATTGGGGAAGCCTCCACCATGTCATGAGAGCACTCAAGCAGCCCTCTGAAGAGGCCCATCTGGGGAAGAGCTGCTACTTTTAGATGCCTGCAGCCCAACGTCTTGATTGTAAACTTATTATGTGAGACTTGGAGCCAGGGGTGCCCAGCTCAGCTTCTACCAGATTTCTGACCCACAAAATACTACGTGAGACAATATGCTTACTGTTTCAAGACACCCGGTTTTGGGGTATTTGTGTGGCACAAGATGATTAATACAAAGGGACAGCAAAAATATCTGAGGAAACAATGGCTGAAAATTTTTCAAATATAATGTAAGCTATAAACCCACAGAGCCAAGAAGCCTAAGAATCCCATGCAGGATAAAAGATAAAGACAACTATACCAAGGCATATTATAATCAAACAAGTGACAAAGAGAAAATCTTGAAAGCAGCCAGCAAAAAAGACACATTATATACAGAGGAAAAAAGACAAGAACAATAACAATTTTCATGTACAGTGCAGCGTAGAGTCCATCATAATTAATATGAAAAAAGTGTGTATTCTCCCTTTGGGGATGTTGATTTTTAAGTATCAGTTCAACAGAGGTGGTTAACAGGATACCAATGCTTAGCTTTTCCATGTCTTCTCTCAGTTTCCGTCTAGTTGTTCTATCAATGGCTGAGAAAGAGGTACTAAAATTTCCAATCATGTTTGTGGATTCTTTTCACCAGGTAATTTTGTCAAATTTTGCTTCATTCATGTTGAAGATCCATTAACAGGTATGTATATTTTTTGTCTATTGTATCTTCCTTACGAATGTCCCTTTGCTATTATTAATTTATGACACGTATTATTTATTACGTTCTTATGAAATGTTCCTCTTTATTTCAGTGATTGCACCTTGTCTAGAAGTTTATCTGATTTCAACCAACCTTCTAATGCTTACCATTTGCATGGTATACCATTTTCCACCTATTTACTTTCCATCTATCTGATCTTTATATTAAAGTGTGTCTCTTCTTGACAGCAGGCTGGGTCTTCTTCCTTTCTCTCTCTCTCTCAGAATGTCAAATCTGTTAGCACAATTTTTTACATAGTTGGATTCGGGTCCATTTGTCTTCTCTTTCATATTCCCCTGTGTTTATCCTTTCCTTTCCTTTCCTTTTTTTTTTTTTTTTTTTGTTTGTTTCATTTGGTCCTTAATAGAACATTTTTTGGAATTCCGGTTATCTGTTGACTTAATTAACTATGTCTATTTGCCATCACACACCAATGAATTATTTTCTGGTAAGAAAATCTAAGTAGATTCAATGACATTCTAATTCATCAACAATCATAAAAAATAACTAAAAAGATAACACTTAAAACAGCATTAAATAAAGAGCAGCACCTAGAAAGAAGTCTAACAAAAGACACTCAAGACCTATGGAGAAAATTCTAAATCTTAATTGAAGGACACAAAGGAAGCATTAAATAAATTCAGAGATATGCCATGCTTCTGAGTAGAAGAACTGAATATTGTAAAGATGACAATTCTACTCCAGTTAATGTATGAATTAAGGCAAGTCTAACCAAAATTCCAACAGACTATTTCATCAAACTAACAAGGTAATTCTAAAATTTATGTGAATGATTAAGGGGCTAGAAACAGGAAGAAAGCCTTGAAAAAGGAAGACAAGGAAGAGGAGGTAGGGAAGGAAGGAAAGAGTGAGAGAGTCATACCCAAGATAAAGATTAATAGTAAAACTATTGTAATTAAGATTGTGTGGTACTAGTGCAGGAATACATAAATTGATGGAACAAAATAGAGAGAAGTTGTATGGAAACAATATATAAGAATATATCTGTAGAAGAAAAAGAATTCAATACATGGGTTTGGGACAAATGGCTTTACAAAGGGAAACAAGATAAAAATAGATCCTTCCACCTACAAAAAGAAATAAATTCCAGTTGAACCAAAGATCAGAATGTACACAGAGAGTCCATACAATTTTAAAATAAATCCTGAGAGAATAACTTTCTGACACTGAGATAAGAAAATATGTATTAAACTAACACAAAAAGTACCACCAAGACAAGATTTAACTGTATCAAATGTGAAATTTAAAAAAAGAAAGAAAGAAAAACTTTAGTATAACCAAAGATACTGCGGGAAAAATGAAGAGAACAGCCACAAAGAAGGAGAAGATATATGGATATATGCAATACTTAAATTGACAAAGGGTTTGTATTAGAATATATTTTAAATGTCTCCAAAATTTTTTAAAAGTGAAAAATGAGCAAAGGATACAAACAGT